ATCTATCCTTTTTTTTTTTGGATAAAAGTTTCTTTAACACCTGAATATATCTGAAGTGTCAAGAGCAATTCTGTACTTGTTTCTAATTACAATCCCAAGGCCAGATCAAGATATTATCAAAACATTTGAATCATTCCACCTACATCTTCAGTATTTTAGAAGTATAAATATGCATTTATGTTTCATACATAAGTACAGTTTATTCCTAAATACACCCTTACTCTGACATACACACACACACACACATACCGAAAGCCTGGAAGTCTCCATTCTCCCCTTCATTTGATAGAACTAAGAGAGAGATATCTCTCCCCTGATACCTGGTAGCAGGTGATGTGTGGCCCTTCCATCTCTACTACATTCTTTTCAGAAACTCTCTCCAACCAAATTTTCCCTAGAGTTTAGAGCAGTGGTTCTCAACCTTTCTAATGCCGTGACCCCATAATACAGTTCCCCATGTTGTGGTGACCCCCAAGTGGGTGTGGCCACCAATAAGTGGGAGTAGGACAGCTAGGGAAAAGGGAAAAAAATGGCGGACAGCGTGGTTTGGGGACCCCCGTGAAATGGTCGTTCGACCCCAAATGGGGTCCCGACCCAAAGGTTGAGAACCACTGGTTTAGAGTTTTCTTTTGCTCTGTACATTCTTTTCTCAAAACTAGCCTCCCCCCCCATCTGAAGAATGGGAAAGATACCAAAACTAGACAGAGGGAAGGTCAAACTTTAGTTGATATGGATCCTACAAATGCTACTGTCATAGAAGGCAGTATTGTATTTGTATTCTGCAGTTTCCCCAAGATCTTAGCCTGCCTCCTCCTTTGTCAGGTTCTTGATAGGCTATTCATCCAAAATCAAGATCTCCAAGGAACTAAGGTTGAAAGAGGGTATTGGCTTACTTGAACGCCTTTTCTCAGCATGGAGACGTAGAATCCACATTGGTGGATTCTATGTCTCCAGTGCTGGAGAAAATAATATTCATTAAATGATAGTAACACTGTGGCTAATTTAGTGCTTGTAATATTTGTTGTATAACTCATTTGACTATATTGCACTGTGGTTTGTGTTGATATTGTACTGCATAAACACACTACTTGTCAGTACACAATACATGGCATTTCTTTTGCTATCACTATCATAAGAAGCACTTTGAGAGTAAACCTTTCTTTATGACCGATTCTGATATAGGCAACTGCTTGAAACACAGAATAAATCCAAAGATAATAATCAAACAACTAAAAGTGGAAAGGGAGCTTTGCAAAGATATTGAGAATTAAGCAAGGTGGTGATGGTAATGACAATTTTATTATTTCCTCCGATGCTGAAATTATTATACATATCTGATTTGAAAAACAAAACAATGGACAACATTAAGAATGCTGTTCATGTTTTGGCCTTTCCTAGTTCTGTAACTTCCCAATATTATAATATAATATGACCAATCACCAGAGTTCTGAAAAACCAAACTTATGACATATTTGATATGAATATTCAGTGAGAAATTCAGTGGGTAAATGTCCATATGTAAAAGCAAAAGAAGTTTCTGGAATTGCAGCATCTCTGACTGAGGAATTGCATAAATGGTTACTGAGTGAAAGAATTCTAAACTAGTTGGGTCTTACACAATATCCTGTTAATGACACCACCCATGGTTTTTGAAACTTTGTGCAATACACAGCACACAGTTAACACCAAGTATAAAATTTGAATTGGATATATAATGCAGTTATCACCACAGGAGAAATAAATAACTACAAAATCTGGAATCTTGTGAGGATTAAGCTTGATAAACGCATGTTTCTGCATATAACACTTCTTCATAGTTGTGTCTTATACATTTAAATGAAAAGAGCAACGGTTTATTATAAATGCACTTATTTATCATCTTAGCAAAGATCAGATTCCAAAGCACATAGACACAACATATTACATATGCCGGTACCCCTAAATCTTTTTAACAACTATTTATATCAGAAAAAGAGTCATCTGGATTACAATTGGAACATAGCTCTTCAAGCAATAAACATTTATTTTTGAATTAGTAAGGTATTTTTTTTTCATCAGAAGTACAGTAATGATTTTATTTCTCACAGTACAATACCAATATACGAGAAAACACTAATTTAAAGATTCTTTTTTCCCCAACACAACTTTGCTTTCAAACATAACATATTCTAAGCACAGAAAGGGATAGATTGAAATACATTCTCCAACATCAAGTTTTTTATTTGCTACATTAATTGTAGACATAGGCAACAACAGTTTATAGTATTTGGAGGAAAATATTATTCTTGAATCCACGCTATAAAATGATAATCTTCAAATATTTTTGCCACTTTTTGCTGCAGTGTAACACAATTCTGGAAACATAAAAAAGATAGTATTTTATTTGTCTGGCTTTGTTTCATTTTAATTTGCAGTTTCTAGTTAAAAAGTTCCATCTCAAACTGATTGAATTTTCTTTCCACTGTGTGCACAAATTAGTTATGGATGATTAATAAAGCATTCCTTCTTTTATTTATTTTGGCTAAGACATGTTCTATATAAAGTTCATGGGAAGGAAGTACTTCATGCGGTATGCTGGCTAAAACTAACACTCTGTTGAGAAAAGGGTTAATGTATTCATCTTTTTATATTGCAATTGATGGAAAATTTGAATATTAAAATAACATTACATTAAGCTAGTTTTTCTGGCTTTAAAAAGAAGACCAAATGATATTTCTTCCCATTCAGCATTTTGAAATATCATTCCTAACATAAAGGTATTATAGTAAGATGCCATTAATAAACATAAATTCTTCAAGGAGGCAAGATGGTCAATGATTAATATTCAAGGCTGAATACAGTTACTGCAGCATCATAAAAAATCTATAGCTCACATCTGTAGCATTACGCTTATGGATTTCATAACAGTATCATGATGTTTAGCTTTGTTCCACTTCTCATAGGCAAAGAATTTGTCTATTTTTGAAACAAACAATTATTTAGCATTACACATAATATTTTTCTGGAATGAGGATAATCTACATATTCCAAATACATGTGAAAATTGTGCCAAGTATACCTATTTCAGGGCCTGTTTTGTCTTTTACTAAATCATGGGCAGAATTGCACCCAAGAATATGGAGCAATATAGAGAGCTACACTTTGGGACACAGCTACAATCTGACTGTGTTTCTGTTAATTATCTGCAATAAGCTAGGCTGCAGATACTGCGTATGGATTGTATTTGGATTGTATTGTTGTATTTGTTTATATTGTATTTGCAAGGCTTCTAGGATTGGTGAGGTGGCCAGCACAAAAGGCTTTCCTTGCCGAGACCCAGTTTTGGGAACATGCTCCTGCTGACACAGAACAGAATTTCTGTTCTACTTCTGTGTTCTCACTGATGGTTTCTTTGCTCTCAGCAGTTCAATTCCCATAGTTGAACTACTGGGATCGAGCAAGTTCTGGTGATCTCATATAAATCATTCAGCTTCATTTTACCTCTCATAAAATAGATTGGGCCTGAGAGCCCCGATCAAACCCATTCCCAACTATGATGTGAATGTCCATAGCTGATAGATCAGTAGAGGTTCATCTTTTAATATATGACAGGAGATATTAACTGTAGGCTGATTTCCACTCTGAATCACATACCAGTATTTCAGTGATATCAATAACAAGTCAATGGAATTTTAATTTGGGCCCCTCAAATATGTACAAGTATATAAATAGTGTCCCAAATAATATATTCCAAATGTATCATAAGAAGAGAATAATTTGGGAGCACGTAATAACATATATTCACTCTAACCCTTACACATCCTTTGAGTGCCTGTATATGAGAGGCTTTGTATATTTGTTTTAATAGGAGTATCAAAAGACAGGCCAAGTAACTAATTGTTTTGTTACCTGCGATTAAAATCGCTGGTGGGGTCAATTTTATAAATTTAAGGTGAGGTCAGTTTTATAAATTGAAAAGAACCTGTTGCCCCTCTTTAGTTTATAAATTGAAAAGAATCTGTTGCCCCTCTTTATGAACAATATTCTAAATACAAAAATATCACAAAAATACGATTAAATTAAAACAGGATTTGGAGGGGGAGCTGTATGGATTTAATGAAGGCCTTTTCATGTTTTCATCAATAAGTCAAGCAGAGTAACAATTTTGTCTAAAATATTTTTGTAGGCTAGTAACTTTTTTGATCATATTCCATTGTACCAAGGTTGTTTATTTAAACAAATTAAATGTTTGTTACTTATAACCACACCTGCAATTAATAGGCACTAAATTTAGACAACAAGAATGCCATGTTTCCTATAATGAAGAGAAAATGATTTCTTATGATCAAATATTTAAGACAGATGTAGTCATCATATTTAACAGTAGTAAATATTTATGTGAAATTGTCATTCATTATTTTGCAACTTTCGATAATAAAGTAATCAAAAGAGGTGCACTGAGGGTTTTTGCTATCTGAATATAATGGAAATGCCTAAAAGTATGGTGCCCATCTCAATCACTGTAATTTGGCTTTTTACTTTTGTTTTTTATAGTTATTTTTGGTTTTGATACTGCTATGTTTATATTATTTTTTTTCTTTTTTGTTTGACGTGTACTGCACAAAATCCTTTGAGGTTTCAATAAAGGAGAATGTTTGTAGCTCAGGGTTGAAATGAGAGAACTTGGTGCTCACTGAGCTTGCTTGTTTTCTTGCAGACATTTCATTTGGATAATGAAACATCTACAAGAAAACAACCAAGATCAGGAGTACCAAGGATCCACAATTGAGATGTTTTTAAGGAACGCAGAGCAAATTGATGCCAAATGTAAAGCAACATTCTTTTACTTTATTCCTTGTTTTTGCAAAAGTGTACGCAAGCTTTTAAACACCTGAGTTTGCTTAGCAACATCAACCTCTCAGTGAGGAATCCTTGGTGTTAATTTTGGCTCCTCAGATTTTTTAATAAGGAATGGTGTTTGTTTGCTTTCTTAAACTTCAAAAAGCAAAGAAAGGGCTTACGTGAAGCAAATCTGGTAGGATCTCAGTCTCCCTTTAGATGTAGTCCATGGACAGTTGTACTGAAGGCAAATCCAAAAGTTCTCTCTTAAGAGGGGAGGGAGAATAGAAGCAGGCTGGAAATTTGGTTTTCATGCCCTGCCCTCACTTTACTGGATAGCACCATAAAGCTATGCTTTGGCTTGATTAAACTCAGATCATAATCAGCTAGGCATAATTATGAATAAAGTGATGTATCAGCTTAGCTGTGCATTATCATGTCCATCCTGCTGCAGCCAGGTGGGAATGAGGAATCCTATGCTTCTGCTGTGTACTCTCGTCACTTTCTTCCCTCCTTCCATTCTTTTGCAAAATGCCTTAATACTTTAATATTTCACCTTAATACTAGATAAAACTAGCTGGTGGGAGAGAGGGTGGAGGACAGCTACGGTTCAAATATGACACATGTCTCCTCAGGGAGACTATAGAATGTTGCCTCTTGACACCTCCCATTATTCATATCGCCAACATAAACAAAACAATTACTTGCCCAGACACTCCCAACCTTTCTAGCTGCCAAGGAACCCTCAAACATGTCAGGATGTCAGAATTGCATCTGCTGTAGAGCCACCAAGCCCACACAGATTGGTGCTTCACAAAATGGAAAACAACACGTTGTGACCAACAAAACTGCAACTGTGATATTGCCTGAATGCAATCATCTTCCAAACCCTTCAGGCCTATGCAGGCTCATTATTTTAGAAGCCAAACTGATTAGAACTTGTGCAATTATTCAGCATAAGATCTTCATGAAATTGCAGATGATCCTAGGAAATGCAAAAGGCCAATTTTAGCCTTCTACTGGCTGCTTATTGCTGAGATGGAGTGGTAAGAGAAAAAGATGACTTTTCTTTGAATAGAGCAAAGCCAAAGAGTTGTAGAAACTTCCTGAGAAATGAATGAGAGGAGAGGCTAGAGCAACTACTATATAGCTATTATCCTTGCCCAAGGCTACTCTCCTTAAGAGAAAATAATGATTAAAAAAATCCTTGCACAGAGAGTACATCACAAATTACCAAGCCAACCTTTTCACTTCATAAATCATAATTCCTGAAATACAACCCCACACCCTATAACAAAGGCTTTAATTATTATTTTATGTGCATCTAAAGCACTTTGGTGAGAAGATCTGAAAGTTAAAGAAACGTTACAAAGCTGTACTGCAACAAGATGATATCAAGGATAGCAGATTCAATGGATTTCTGCATGCAGGAAAAGTAGCAAACTGAATCTCACATTAAGGATCTTATATTTTACAGCACTTCTACCCACTGTATGCTATCCATTCAGCTCTCATTATCGCTGGACAGCTTGCCTAATAATGACAGTAAAGGATGGGGCAACACATCTAATGCAGCAGTCCCCAACCTTTCTGGCTTTACGGACCAGCGGGAGGGGAGAGCGGATGGTTCTGTGTGAGCGGTGTGTGAGTGTGCATACGCAAGTGGAGTGCATGTGTGTGTTTGGCCACCACTTCCTTAACCCAGTTCTGAACAGGCCATGGCCCAGTAGTGGGCTGCAGCCTGTGGATTGGGGACCCCTGATCTAATGAATACAAGATGTTGCACTGCAACATCCTTTCTTTAAGGAAGTCTGAAACTAAATCTTTAACATTTTAATTAGCCTGGCAGTTTAAGATCTACATTACAGCACATGTTTATTGCTATGGATTGTCAGATAAGCAGTTTGATATTCAGACATAATGGAGGCATAGAGATTTATTGCTAAGAACCACATTTAGCTGGTTCTTAGCCTGTAGTAAGGTTTCTAGTATGTACAAAGGTATCTGCAATTAAAAGTAATATTGGAATAAATGAATAAATGGAACAAATAACTACCAGAATTTGTAGTTCCTACTAGAGAATGTATGTTTTAAAACCTGATATGAAAACATGAAAAATAGATTAGAACATTCCCTTAATTATTACTTTCTGTCTTAGATGCTTTCCATACAATAACTAACCAATCATATAGTAGTTAATTAATACCAGGTCTCAAAGACTGGAACAGATGAATCATGGTATGTAACAAAACACAATGATTAAAAACCCTCAAATTAGTGCTGCAACTATAGCTGGCTTCCGCTTAAGTTCTCAAACTGTTCTCAAGATAAAGCAAGGAAAACGTCATATTCTCTCTTCCTCTCTAATTTATACATGTCTTGGACTAATAAATGAGCATTTATTATTCTTGGTTCATTATGTCACCAATGAAACTAATAGCAAATCAATTGTAGAAATATGCCTAAAGAAAAAGATACAAGGTTTTTGAATCCCCAAAGTTAGTAAAAACAAGTTCCAAATTGATTCTAGCTATCCAAGACATAACTGTTTTCAATGCAACTAGCATGTTAAGAAATTGTCATTATATAGCTCACATAACTGGAAATTCATGCTCTTGTCCTCAAATTGGCTCAGGCAGACCATCTGCAGCATTTTAATTAGTTACCACAATAGGCATAGCTCAAAACTAGACATACAGATCTCTAATAATAAAGCTTCGGAAGTAGTAATTGTAAGCCAATGTTAATCCCAATCTAACTGAAATATAATCAGGCTTATGTAGCAATTAGACTAATTTTTATAAAATTAAATGCAAATACAGAAACTCACAAACTCAACAATCTGTTTCAGAAGATTGCAAGCTACTCTAGTTCAGAAAAAAAATATCTAGTGTCTACCTCCTTGCTATGAAACCTTAACAGAGCTCTATAAGTGTCTGTCACAGCTAATTTATTGGGGCTGGTTTGTGTTGCTGGAAGACAACTTACAATAAAAGCAGGTGAGGAGTCTTGGCATGTGCAGTATGTCAATCAAATAAACACACAATAATAAACAAATCTGCAGTCCAAAAGCCCCTTATACGTGCCAAAGAACGAATGCTGGATTAGTGTGTTTACAGTCACTCAGTAAACACAGAAACTGTGGGAGAGTGCACAGCATCCCATTTTATTTATTATTTATTCTCAGATTCTGATGGAGTGCAGTTCACCTTAAAATGACCCAGAGAAGGCTACACCATTCCAAATCAACAAAATGCAGTTCAATAATTACTAAAATCATAGCAAAGGATTTTAAAACTGTAAATAACAGCACTAAAACACTAGAGCATGAACATTTCGTGACATTCAGCATCAAGAAAAACCTTTTGGGAGGAGAAATTCAAAGCCAGAGTGTGTTTGTACAGGTAAACAACCCTCTCCCTCAGCAGCCAATAAGGAAACCATTTTCAGAGAAACCACCTGCAATTAACTGATAAAATTGGGGCAATTTTTTTTACAATTAACCTCAAAATACAGTTGAATCGTTTCCCCTATTTCTAAAACATAGAATCGTAAGGTCCATGATTATTGTTTTTGGTGCAATAAGTTGAAGAATGTCATTACATTTTCATACCACTCAAATCAAAAGTTTGACCATGGGGAAAATATAATTTTCTACCTATTCTATTTTAACCAAATGTTGTGTAAATGTTTAAGCATCTATTAATTAGTATCTGAAGCATGCTTTGAAGTGAGCAAAACATATTCAATTAACGTATTTAATCACCTTATTTTATGTGACTTTTATTTCTTTTTACTGACTTAGCAATTGGGAACATTTCTTCTTCTGACTTTAAAGACTAATACTCTAAAATACAAATACTATTCTTGCTCCATAGTCTAATTTGCTATGTATATGAAAAATACAGACATATTTTTAAAGTTTTCTTTAAAAATATCATGAAGTATGCATATTTATTCCTCTGCCAAGTTGTACATAGCACAACTTAAAAATAATACTTACTTTTCTTTTATAAATATTATTCTGATTGTTATTATTAAATAAATTTAGGCAGCTGGCAATGTTTGGCTGACATTGTCTGGACAAAGAACTTAAGCAAGATCAGATTTGATTATTACTTGAATAGGAGACCTCAGAGAAACATCAGGGCTGCAGTCTCTAAGAAGTTCACCAATGTCTTGAAAGGAAGGAATCACTTCCTTATTACTGATAGAAAGAACAGAATTGTGAAGCAGTGGTATTCCCTATGACAAGTATGAGAGCAAAAGTTGGACTTTGAAGGAGTAGGATAAGAAAAGTATTGACAGTTTTGAATGTGGGTGTTGGAAAAGACTCCTGAGAATAGCATGGACAGCCAAGAAAACCAACCAATGGATCATTAAACAAATCAACAAAGAGACTTCCCTGAAGATACAAATGACCAGGCTCAAATTATACAACAACAACAACAATAACAACAACAACGTAGTAGTAGTAGTAGTAGTAGTAGTAGTAGTAGTAGTAGTAGTAAAGTTGGAAGGGCTTTAGGCTTTCAGAAGTCTGGAGAAGGCTCCAATGCTTGGAAAGGTGAAAGAATGAGTAGAAGAAGGTGACTAGCATCAAGATGGATGGACTTAATTACAGTGATGAGGGTGCACTTTTAAAAGGCCTGACAGACCAGATTAGGACCAGATCATCATGGAGGAAATCTGTGGATGCTAAGAGTTTACAATGACTTCATGGCACAGAATCAATCAATTATTGGTTAGAAGACTGTACCCAAAGGATCCATGAGGCCATGTTTGTCCCAGAAGAAACTTTATTTAAAAATTGCTTTCAATTACTACAAATCACACTGAGGCTGGTAATATAATATATATAAAATACATTCATACATACATAACAATTTCTTTTTAAAACATAAGGGGGGAAAGAAAAGCAAACATATGAAGAAATAACATACATTCATACAAGGAAAATGTGGGTCCAAAAGTAGGTCTAATGATGCTTAAAAGATTTATTTATGGATGCCTTAAATTTCTGGGGGAAGATCACTTAAGAATGTTTGGCCCACCAAGGAGAAACTCTGCCCTTTGTATCCTGCTTATCATAAAGGCTTACTGCAACTCTCAAAATAGGCAGAAGGACTTCCTTGATGATCTTAAGGGATCAATGAATTCTACAATGGCAATGCAAGGGATCTTAGTCCCAAGTTGGGGAAAGCCTTTTCTGTCAAAATTAACATCTCAAATTTGGCTCAGCAGCTGGCAGTCACTGTCATGGCTTTAGTAACAGTATATTTGAGCTCCGATTCCTCATTCAGCAATTTGCCAGCTATCTTATATACCAGTTGAAACTTTGGGACCAACTGCAAGGACATATCCATTCAGTGTGTGTTACAGTAGCCTAAATCTGAGGTTTCCAATGCACAGTATACTGTTGGTAGGATAACTCTGTCCAGGAAATGATATATTTTGTCTATCAGCAAAAATTAGTAATGGATAGATCTAGTTATACTGGATTTGGTGTACTTCCAAACATTTTGGAATCTGCTATGCAAAAATTAAAAATTCCAGACAATGTTTTTATTTTGCTTCTGAAATCACATAAAGATGACTGGGCCAGTAGAAATGGAACATGAATTGTCTGTATAACTATTCATGAATTCAATCCAGATTCATTTAAATTACTGGAAACTCCATTACCTGATTCCAGCAGACATAAGAAATTCAATCCACAATATACAGAATTAAATCAAAGTGGAGACTTATTTGGGATGTTAACATAAGAACTTATTTCTGGCTGACCCATCTATAAGAGAGCTTTCAACCATTTCATTATGGATGCTAACTTATAATACCCAGACAGAAAAAAACCATAGAGTGAAAGAGAAATCTCAATTTGATATTTTAAAATCATGTATTAGGGAAAATATACTTCTGTTTATTCCTTGCTACAATTTGAAGAAGCACCGATATTAATTCTATGAATAATTATTCATTACTGCAGGATATTTATATTAAAAGACAGTATACATACATTCTGTAAATTTTATGAGCTACCACGTATCTAAAAGGCATCATCTAATATCTAAAAATATTTTGTCAAAAATATTAGTGTATAAAAAATTTAAAAGTTAATGCCCACTAAATGTTTCTAAGAGAACCAAGAGCTTCTTTCAAGAATAAAGCCTTTATAAATAACTACCTTTTCTGAACCCCCAGATTTGGGTGTCTGTCTTGAAACTGCAGATCTATTTGCCTCTTGCCTCCCCCCCCAATCATCAGCATTCATCAAGTATTTAGCAGTGATCAGATAAACAACTGCTAGGTGCTAATTAGTCCTGTCAGAATTAAAAGCTGATAGGAAACCCCTGTCCCAGTTAAGCAAAAGCTTGGTTATCTGGCATGTATTGCTCTTCATCAACAATCCCTTCAAATGTCTACAGTTCCACTGAGTTTTAGATGTCACAGTGAAAAAAAAAAGTTTACACAACTGGTAAAGTTAGACCAAATCTCATCCCATTATGACGATCAGAAAGCTTGCTCAGAAGTAAGTCCCACTGAAACCACAAAAACCTATGTCAACATATTTGGTATTATTTATTTAGTTAGTTTATTTATTAAACTTCTATGCCACCCATCTCACTGAGGCGACACTAAAAGGATTACAGTCATTCCATAAAATATGATAAAAAACATTTAATACAATAAAAACTATAAATGGGAAATTCAGTGTTAGAATATAAATCAGATAGACATTTTACAGACTTTTTTTCTCTTGCACTTAAAATTAATTGGCTTCGGGCCCAACATCACATAGGATAAACAAATATTTGCTTGTCTACCCCACACAAAGCAAGGCAAGGAACAAATTTGAGAAAAAGTG